GAAATTAAAACCAAACCAATTTTGATTCTTGGTACTTTTTATTATTTCAATTACTTTTACAATTGTATATATAATTTAAAAATGTATTTTTTTAAAAAAATAAATGATTAAATAAATAGGAGGAGGGGGTAAGGTGTCTGAGTTGACAGTTCGACCTCATATTTTCAGCCATAATCTGTTTCATATGTGCAAGCTCTTATCATGTATGATAAATTGATGACATATATCTTAGTGCAAATACGCGTTTTGCATAATTTTCTCATATTGTATGATATACTCAGATTTGTTGCATAAAGAAACGGCTAGTATAGGCCTCAGCACGAGCGAAACTTAAGCGCCGGCCATATCAACTTTCGGGTAGGTTCCAACAAAGGGGTGGGAGACAAGGGGGTTACCCCTTGCTCCTATGTGGTTATGTTTTTGTTTTTTTTTTATGTTTTCTTTTATCTTTTTCCTTTCAAGTTATATTTTTTTCAATTTATTTTTCTAGTTTGTATTTGTGTTTTCTAAACTCTAGTAGTTTTTTATTTTAGAGAATAATTGTTGAAAATGAAAATTCAAATAATATGTTGAAAATTTAGAAAAAGAAATCATATTTCATAAATCTCATATGTAATTCCTCTCGTACTATGATTTTTTAAGAAATCTAGAAACAAATCTAACTTAAAAGAGATAATATCATACTCCGATCCGTCCCAAACACTCTGCAATATTTTATTTTTTGTTTGTTCCAAACTTACTGCAACATTTTCAAATATAGAAATAATTAATAATATTTATATATATATACTTCACTTTATCCCATCACATCACTCAAATAAAAAAACCAATAATCATTTCTCTCTCCAATCACATCACTTAATATCAAAATTATCTCAAATTACCATACTTAATACTCCCCACCTAAATTTCTGTGCTAAATACAAATGTTGCACAGTATTTGGGACGGAGGGAGTACAATATTGAATTAGTTGAATCCTAACCGACAGATACTAACATTTATATGTACTTTGAATTGTGGTAATGTGTAATAGTAATTTTGTGCATTGGTTGCCCTTATTGATTGTTTTATTGATCATGCATGAGCTAATATTTGCATGTAGTTCTAATTGCATAAATGTATAGTTTTGTTATGATACATTAATTGTGTAGACTTATATTAATGTCTAGAATTATGAAATCAGTAAAAACTTAAATCGAATATCAACATACACACTAACTTACTTTACAAATTTACTATTGTGACACGACCATTACACGTTTGACGTCAATCAAAACAACATACTAAAAGATCAGTGCAACAAACAACAACATTGCATTAACCAGAAAAATATAGGAATAATAAAAGCCGACTAATTTCACAATACAAAGACTACAAAAACAAAATAGCACAAGCCCACCTCGAACCTCCATATCATCGATTAGAATCCAAACCGGACTTTCAAAATAAAACCACATAAATCACAAAACACATTCCGACAATGATCTTCAACAATTTTCTATATATTTTATCTATTTCAAGATTTCAGAGTCCTCGTTTCTTTTATAAAAAATTTAAACTGGGCTTTTGCACATTAACACATTGACAGATCTTATCAGGAAAAATATCCACATCCACCTTATCCACCTCTCTAATGATGCAATAAAAAAGATAATTAATTACTCACTCCGTCTCAATTCAAAGTATTTTTTTTTTATCATTTTTGTTTGTCTCATTTCAAAGAATTCATTTCCTATTTGAGAAAAAGTAATTATATATTAATACTAACATACCGTTAACTTTTATTTAAATTACAAATATACCATTACACATACAATTATTTTTTACATAAAATCAAAAAGCAAAAATATTCAAAATTTCTACACACTTCCACTAACTAATATAATACTTCATCCGTCCCATAACTAGATATCCATTTGTTTTTACACGTAGTTTTAGAAATATTAGTATTATATTGGAATGTAGTAGAAATAAAGTAGAAATGACTAAAATAACATTATGAGTATGTGTGATATAAAGCTAATGACATTTGTGTAATATATTGTAAGTTGTAAGGGTATTTGTAAGATTAAGTAGATATGACAGTTACTTAAAAAAAAAAAAAAATGAATACTTTGTTATGAGATGAATTAAAATGGAAAAATAAATACTCAGGACGGAGAGAGTAATATTATTTCTTAACCTATTATAAAACCTCAAAGGACTCATTTGATTTGAGACAGATGGAGTTCCAAATTATCATAAATGAAAAAATATTTAAATTCTTACATGTAATTAGCTAAAAAATTAAATTTTCATCCAAAATTTTCATTCATCAACAATGTTCTGGCGACGCTCCTTTGTCCACACAAACACTTACTCAAGCCGGTCATTGTTAAACAATTTTTTATACATAATTCAGTTCACCTGTAATCCTAAGATAATAAAGAAGTCATTTCCTAATAAAATATTTTGGGGGGCACAAACGTAATTTCACGAAATCAGAATTGCTGGATGACGATAGGGGAAGGGATTAGTGTGAAATGGAATTTAATCACGGCGGTACGGGGGGTGGGTCAGAGAAAGGCAAAGTGTTAATACCGGTAATCCTAGGGGCAATATGGTAATTTCAAAGAGAAATATAAAAATCTAATCTGAGTGGTCCGGACTCCAAAGGCACCATAAAATCCGATTAATTTTGCCGATTTTAAACAAAGCATTAAATTAATCCCCACAAGAAAGAACACGTCAGCCACATGGCTGGTGGTAGCATTAGTTGGCTAACAACACCACGCGTAGATCTATTCTCCCGCCAACACGTGGACGGCTGAGATGAGCTGGAATAAATATTACTCCACCCCATCGCGAATGTTTCCACCAACTGCCAGCTCACTCACAATTTTCCAAATTTCGCAACTAATGCCTATTCAGATTATTATTATCATTATTTTATCTAAAAAATATACTATCTATCAGTGACATTAATATTTAAATACTATTAATTTTTATATTATAATATTTATAAAAAAAATTACAAAAATATTTTTATTAATATCTTAAAATATTAATAAAAAGATTATACAAATATATTTTTTTTTAATATTAAGTATAATAACATAAAAAATAAATATGACTCTTACAGATGAACGGATAGAGTATATAAATAAATTTCAGTCTTTAAAATCAATTAATTTAAGTGGCTGACTCTTTAATGTAAATTTTACCATCTAACAATACAACATACAAGTATAAACAATACAATAAAAACACAATATCTAACTGACCTCCTAATTAGTTATTTATGTCTTCTTTAAAAGTATCTATTTTTTATAAAAATAAAATTAATTAAATATTAATAAATATTTTTTAACTTTTATATAAATTATAAAATATACATAAAATACAAATAACAAAATAATTTTCAAAATCCTCTTATATACTTTTATTCATTAATAAAATATTTTTATTCTTTAATTTAATATAAAACCTAAAAAGTACGCTTCAGATTGGACATACTATACATTATGTAGAGATAAATAATACTCCCTCCATCCCGTATGTCATATTCACGTTGTCGTTCCTGTCCGTTCCACGTACCCATGTCATTTTCTTTTTTTGAAAAATAATTATACATTTTAATCTTATTTTAAACTTTTTAATTTTAATTAAACTAATTAGTTATTTTAATCTTAATTTATAACTATTTATATTATAGGATAATTATTTTTAATAATACATTCTTAATTATATATTAATTACATTCCTCATAAAATATCGTATCTCCAGTATAAGAAACACGGTATATGGGATGGAGATAGTAACATGTTATATAAGAAAATAACATAATATATAAACACAAATAATTAATAAATTATATTAATATAATATAAATAGAACAACATTATATACGACATAATCTCATACAATATACTCTCTCAGTCCCAATACAATAATTTTGTTTACCATTTTTGCCCGTTTCAAAATAATAGTCTCATTTTCATAAATAATCATATCACTATAAAACTACCCTTATTTTTTCATTATTATTACACAATTGTCACTACTTTTTACACTAATACATTCACAATGGCAAAAATTTTTTTTATCTGTATATTTTATCCGCTACTAATATAATATCAATATTTCTTAAATCTGATGTCAAATACAACAAAAACTATAATTTTGGAATAAGAGAGTATAATATAAGACCGACAATATAAATTATACAATATTACTGTAATACAAAGACGATATGAATAGCATATGCCATAATATTAGATGATATATCTTATAATTAATTTAAAAAATATATATCAATACATCATATTTATATACTCTCCCAGTTCCACTTCAAATGAATTATTTAGAGTTTTATAATAAATTAAAAAATAATAATATTTTATTAGTGAGCAACAGTATATAAGATATTTTGATAATTTTACTTTTTGACTTTAGATATAAAATAATTATATTTATAATAATATATTTGTAATTTATGTAAAAATTAAAGGTATTATAATATTACTTTTATTAAAATGAATAAATAAATGATAAAAAAGTTAAATTGAGTTGCAACATATAAGAAGTATATTTTTAACACATTATGTACAGATTAATTTTGTATTACATATAACTTTATTAGTATTATATATTATAATATAAATATAATAATATTTATGTAATGTATTATAAATTAAAGAATATTTATAAAAAATATATACTTTACTAATAAATAAATAAATTATTAATAAATTAAAAGAATATTATTTAAATAATTTTTTTCCCTTGACCTAATATCCAAATTATTCAATTTAATATTATCCGTTTAAATTTTCGTATCGAAAATCAACTATTTCACTGTGGATAGAAATGAGGGATTATTAAAAATTCTGCGTTCACATTGTGGTGAGTGAGTGTGACATGGGGACTGCAAACGACTAATGTTGATATGGAGACACGTGTTGGATGACGTGGACGGCTGTCTGGGAGCAGCTCCTCTCCTCTTTCTTCATTCTTTTCTCTCCTCATTCTTTCTCTCCAAAGGCTTCAAAAATATAGAGAGAGAAAGAGAGAAGGCAAGAAATGCGAGCAGTGTAGAATTATGAACTAGCTTTGAAACCCCCAATTTGTTTTCGCGAGCTTTAATTTTTTGCGGTATGTTCTAATTTTCGAGTTTTATTCCATTTGTTGTTCCTTTGCTGATCGGTTGTTATTAATTACTTTCACCGTTTTGCACTTTAATTCGCTCCTGGTTGTCGATTGTTTCTGAAATTAGGGTTTCAGTTTTAATTTTTGGGAATTGTTAAATCTGCTGCACGAGCGGCTTCTGTTGGAGTTAATTTTTCAGTTTTTTAGGTTAAGAGATGAGAAATTTGACCCTATGCCTTTTCTTCCCCCAATTTCTGATTTGCTCTGTTCTGGTGATGAAATTATTTAAGTAGATTTACGTGAAGATAACTTATGCAGTTTTGTTCAGTATATGAAATTACGAAAGGTTAATGGTTGTCAGTTTTGTGGAGTTTTTGTTGCTTGTGAAGGAAGATGTATTAGTCAATTCATACTAAACTGTGTATGTATTTAAATCTAAATGATCTTGCCTAACTGGAAAGATCAAAACAGTTCCTGTGAATTTGTCGTTTTCTTTTGTCAATTTATTAGCCTGGAATTCTGTTATGCGACAAGTTTAATGAATGTTTCCATTTGAAATACTGAGAAGAACATGATTGGATTCCCGATTTCTTGCAATGGCCATCTACCATCGCAGTGGCTATGTTGTAATAGTGTTTGGTTGTTTGAAATTTGCATAATAGCTTGGCAGAACTTTGAGGTTTTGCATTTCTTTGTTGTCATTAGCTGAAGAAGATTGAACAGTTTTCTTGAACACATATCATGGGCAACAGCGAAGATGGAAAAGCTTCGAGTACTGAGAAAGTGTCTTCACCTATGGCAGTGAGTGTAAGAATTGTGGCTTGATATGAATATTTGATCCCAAAGAGCTTATGTGGAGTTTTGTAGGAACTGCTTTTGTTGTGCTTACGACACAAAATTCCGTATAAATCCAATACCGGGCTCGATTTCTTTCTTTTTTTCATTTGTTTATTACCTAAATATCGCATAGTGTGGATATATCATATATGACATACTGCATATGCATTTATGACTTTAGCAGGATCAGAACAACGTCCACGTGTACCCCGACTGGGCGGCAATGCAGGTGAGCTACGTGGGAGCGAACCTAGGAAACAATCCTAGGTTGTAGGAACGAAATCTATTTATTGGTTAATTTCTCAGACTGATTTAAAAGTTTGTGCGGATTGTTATTATTCTTCAGGCTTTCTATGGTCCCCGAATGGCTGTCCCGCCTTATATGAACTCAGCCGTCGCTTCTCCTCACACGCCTCTCCCGTACATGTGGGGTCCGCCACAGGTACTGTCCTAACCGTTTAACTTAACTAACAAATTTCGGAAATATACGCTGTTGAGAGCAGTTTTATAACACAAATGTTTTGGCCCTTTTAGTCGATGATGACGCCATATGGGACGCCGTATGCCGCATTCTATCCTCACGGAGGCGTTTATGCTCATCCCGGCATCCCTCTTGTAAGATTTCTGTAGCTTAATGTCAAATTTATATCGATTTTTTTGCTGAAATAATTGTGGGTTAGGTCATGCAGGCTGGTACACCTTTAAGTGTCGACGCGACGGCGAAGTCACCAGGCAACACTGATGGAGGTTTTGTGAAGAAGTTGAAAGAATTTGACGGGCTTGCAATGTCGATTGGGAATGGAAATGCCGAAAGTGCCGAAGGTGAAGCCGAACATAGACAATCTGACAGGTTTTAAAGACATCTTATCTTTTGCTATTTATGTGTTCCTTATTGTGATTGGCGTTAAAGACGAGATCTTGTTGCTATAAACAGTGAGGCGACCGAAGGTTCCAGCGATGGAAGTAATAGAGTTACTACAGTGGTGAGACTACTTGTTCAACTGTTCGATGGCGTTTTAAACACAGCGTGAGATGTATTAATCTGATCGCGTTTTTTACAGGCTGCTGATGACCTTAAGAAGAGGAAGATAAAACGATCTCTGAGCAGAGGTTGTCTTCATCGATCATAACTTGTTAATTGTTTTTTCACAACTTATGTTTCCTTCATTCTCATATTGTTCGTCTCTTGCTTAGGTGATAGCAAAGGTCGAAAAGAAGGCAGCTTAGTGCCAGTGGTGGGAGGCGAGGGAGGATCTGAGAAGATAATCGATGCTATTCCTCTGAAAATGATGGAGAACACTAACACTGCATTGGAACTGAAGGATCATTCCCTCAGTCTGAAGTCAAGCCCGAGTAATGGTCCGCAGCAATCGTTGCCCAATGAACCTTGGCTGCCGGTGATTTCATCTTTTTACCTTTTTATCATTGGCGGGATTAGGGGTGAGCATTGGTCGGTTCAAGCCGAAAAAATCGAATTTTTTTTGGTTCGGACTGTTTGGTTAATCGGTTCAGTTTGGTGCAAAATCGAATTTATAAATTTCGATTTCGATTTGGTTATGATTTTCAAGTTTTAATTTTGGTTAACAGAAAAAATCGAACTTTTAAAATTGATAAAAAATTATGTATTAATAAATAATATATATTATAATTTTGAGTATTTGTATTTGATTGTATATGTAAAATATATATTAATAAATAAAAGTTCAATTTCTTTGGTTTTAAACTGAACTGAATTAGTTTAGTTCGGTTTATTTGATTTTGAAAAAAATTTATAAACCGAAAACCAATCAAAATAGAAAGTTAAGTTCGGTTTGAATTGAACCGACCGAATGCAAATCCCTAGGCCGGATTGGAATTTTTTACATATGCAAAGGGTTTATTATAGGACACCTAACGTATATTTTTTGTTTGTGTTCTGACATGTGTACACAGGATGAAAGAGAGCTGAAACGGGAGAGGCGGAAACAGTCCAATAGGGAATCTGCAAGAAGATCTCGCCTTCGGAAGCAGGTGTGTTATTTTTAACGATATCTTGATGTTGAATTACTAATTTTTGAGCTATTGAGTCCGCATTGTTCGTTTATTGAAATTTTGGTTTAGATTTAATCCCTTTTTAGCCGATTTTTTTTATTATTATTATTATTCTCAATGCAATTATTGGCACAGGCCGAAACCGAGGAGCTAGCTGGCAAAGTGCAGGCACTAACTGCCGAGAACTTGTCTCTCACAGCGGAAATAAACAAACTAATGGAAAGCTCGAAGAAACTGAAGCTCCAAAATGTTGCACTAACGGTATATATATACATATATATATATATACACTCTTGACTCGATATTCCTTCAATCTGAATGTAAGCAATATATATCCAGGAAAAGCTGAGAGCTGCGCAGGTCGGGCAAATGGCTGATATGAATTCTCAGAATGCTACCAACGATGATGATCCGAGCCTAAAGCCCATCGGAACAGCGAACCTATTGGCGAGAGTTAACAACAATGATTCGGGCGACAGGAAAACCGACGAAAGCGATACATACAGTGGAAATAATCGCCCGGGAGCTAAGCTTCATCAGCTTCTTGATGCTAACCCGAGAGCTGACACCGTAGCGGCGAGCTGAGGTAATTTTGGCGTAATTACAAGTCCAAGATTGCTTTTTTCTAACAATAGCAATGGAGTGAAGAGAGTATTGTGTGTCTTAATTAATTAAATGAAAAAGGGTAAGGTATGGTGAGATGAGAGTAAGCTAATTTAAAGAGGTATTGTTGTTGTTGTTGTATTTATGTTGTCCCGGCGGAACCTGGAATCTATTTTAATGTTCAGATTGATGCTGGGGAAGAAGATAGCAAGAAATAATTGTGGGAAATTTAGACTTAGAGGGTGTGAAATTGTTGTAAACTGTCGTCGGACATCCTCATTCTGATGGCTGATTTGAAGAGAGAGAGAGGACATTTGGATGTAATAATGTGTAAGGAGTTGTGTATGTCTGTTTAAAACCATAAATAGGAAGGAATTTGACATAATTGGAGTGGATGTGATCGATGCCGAATGGTTGTTTGGGCGTATAGGAACATTAGACGGTCTTGCTCCCGATTAAAACTGTTTTTAGTGTGTTTTTGGTAAATTTTCGATCGAGTTTTATAGGTTGCATACTGGGCCTTGTAGCTTTAGGGATTTGAATGCATTATCACGAGTTTATTTCTATGTTATCAGACTATTTTTTACCGGACAAAAATGTAGGTAAGACATTCTTAAATATCTACTAATTTGAGGTCTAGGCTATTAAGTTCGATTCGAGGTTTACCTTAAGCGTACTCGAAGAATAGTTATTGTGGATTTCACCGTTATAAAAAAAAATGAAAATTTATTTTGAGACACCATATATTTAAATTTGTCCAAATCGTACAATTTTCTTCATTTCTTTTCGAAAAGATAACTTAGAAATACGTAAAAGCAAAATTATTACTAGGATTCAAATCTTTAGCATAAGAAAGGTATCCAAAATTAGAAATATGATAGGAGGCACACTAAACCAAAATTCATAGGGTTTTGTAAATTTTTGGTGGAAATATATAAGATTAATCAAATAAACATTATTTGTTTCAACTGTTTGGTAATCTCTCTTGCAACATTTTAAAAATATTCTTCAAAATGAAAAAGATTTCATCTTGATTAATGCCATCAAGAATATGTCTTTAAAATTTAGAGATTTTCAAGTCATAACTATTTTCGTTATGAGTAAACAAAAGAAATAGTTGAAGAAATACATAAATAATACAAGGAAAAAAATACATATATATATATATATAATTATACAAATACTAAAAAGGAAAAAATATTATACTCCTTCCTTCCGTCTACATGTTGCCGCTTCTGTCTGTCTCATATACTATGTCACTTTTATTTTTTAAAAAATGATTACACACTTTAATCTCATTTTAAATTTTTTAATTTATTTTTTTTTTAAATTTTAATTAAACTAATTAGTTATCTTAATCTTAATTTATAATTATTTATATTATAGAATAATTATTTTCACTGATACATTATTAACTATCTACTAATTACACCCTTCCTAAAATACCATATTTACAGTGTAGCAGACACTGTGTGTGGGACGGACGAGGGAATACATAACAAACAATTCATCTTCTATTCACATTCAATCTAAAACAATTCAAACAATTAAGGGTCTGTTTCTTTTGATGGATTCGGAAAAATTTTGGTTTAAATTTGACATGAAAACAAGGTATGATGGGATGTTTTGTGAGGAAAAAAAATTATTTTTTTCGAAAAACGTACGAAAAAAAATCCTAAATATCTTATAATGCAGATCAATTCAATTTATATTTAAAATATCATATAAATAGAAAATGACCGTTCTACCCTTATAAAAATTGCATAAGTAAAAAATAAAATTAATCATACAAATTTAATAAATGAACGTGTGACTATGTGACTTGTGAGGCGTTTCTTTATGTATTTCCATAAAGTTGATTGTTATTCTATATATTCTCAATGGGTCTATTTAATTACATTTATTTATTTAATATTCTACTTCTTTTGTATTCAAATACTCCTCGTTACGTCCCAATTTATTTTGAAAAATATATATATATATTTTTTAAATAGACATTTAAAATAACAATAATTAATTAATTAATAATAATAAATTATAATTTTATTTTATGTAAGTGATATTGTTAGTAACATAAAACAAAATTAATTATATCTCAATAAAAAATATATAATATGATATAGTTTTATAGAAAATAAAATTTTATATAAGATAAAATTTTTATTTATTTATGATTAATATAAACTAATTTTATAAATTATAGAGAGTTTTAAATTTAGGTAAAAATATTTATTTATTAAAAAATAATATAAATAAAATAATTTTAATTAAATCGTATATGATGTATGATGTTATATAAAATTGATTGAATTGATTAAATTTGTTAAATATATTTTAAATTAGTAAATTTCATCATATAGTTTGTCTAGTGAGACTTATCTTGACAACTATTATATTCAGTTGAAATTTATTCAAAATGCAATTAAAGAGAAGCAACTCCACTATATATACTCACTCCGTCCGCCTTTAAGGGTCACATTTACCTTTTGCATAATTTTACTCAACATTAACAATATTCTTATATTTGTATAATTATTTTTTGTATAAATATCATTCTATTAGTATTACAATACATTGATGAAAATATTTTTGTAATTTTTTTTAATTTACAGTACGTTATGATATAATAATTAATATTCAACCTAAAAATATTTTCACTAATAGTTCTTTCATAGTTTAATGATGAGAGGGATTTGTATTGTCCCTGTCAACATCACCTGCCTTTATAGAGTAAACTGTTTTTTTAGTCCCGTAACTGGACCCCCTTATCACTTTAGTCCTGTAAGTGGAGCATGTCGCAAACTAGTCCCATAAGTGAAAGATTTTCGATGTTCTAGTCCTCCGGCGCCGGAGATGCCTGCGTGGCTCGCCTGAGGTGACGTGTCTGCCAGGTGTCGCTGACCTAGCGGACACGTGGATTTTTTTTAATTTTTTAAATTTTTTTAAAAACTTATTTTTCATTTTTTTTGTATTTTTTTGTATTTTGTCTAATTAAAAAAAATTAAAAAATAAAAAAAAATTAAAAAAAAAATAAATCCACGTGTCCGCCAGGTGTCGCTGACCTGGCGGACACGTCACCTCCGGCGAGCCACGTGGGCGTCTCCGCCGGAGGACTAAAACAACGAAAATTTTTCACTTATAGAACTAGTTTGCGACAGACTCCACCTACGGAACTAAAATAATAAAGGGGTCCAATTACGAGACTAAAAAAGCAGTTTACCGTTAATTGAGTTTGGTTTGTAGTTATTTATTGTTTATATTTATATTTTTTAACTAGTATTTTTTTTAAAAAAAAAATTTTGCTTTTCTCATTTTTTATATATAAAATAAGTGTTGTTTTTGCTTTTATTTTATTTTTGATAAAGTAAAAAAATGAAGAAAAAAAAATAACTTTATGAAACAACAAGCAAATTGAAATAAAATTTTAGATTTAGTGTAGATTAAAGTTTTCAAAGTTTTAAAAATAACAAAACTTTGAGTATAAGGTGTACTATTACGTCATTCAAATTTGTATTCAAATATTTTTTGAATACACATAAAAGCTTGGTAGCTAGCAAGGCTTATAATCTTAATAAAAATAAGGAATAATTGTTAATTTTTATTATTTATAGTAAAAAATTAAAAATTAATCTTTTTTTATTAAAAAATAAAATAAAACAAAAAGAAAAAAATGAATATTATTTTAGACAGCAAATGAAGGAATGTTTCATTAAAAAAAAAAGTATAATTTGATATATACTCTCTCCGTAACATATCTATCTATCAATATATTTTTTTTCATGGAGTTTTAGAAATATTAGTATTATATTAGGATATAGTAGAAATAAAAGTAAAAAGAATAAACTACCTTTATTAGTGTAGTATGATACACAATTAATGACATTTGTGTAATATACTGTAAATTAGAAGGTATTTGTAATGTTATGTAGATAATACAGTTATAAAAAAAGAAATGAATATTTTGTTACGAGACAGAATAAAATGCAAAAATGAATATATTGTTAAGATACACATGAAGTATATGTTTTTAAAAGTTACTACTCCCTGATTTCACGGGGCAAGTATTTTTAAAAAAAGTAGGTAAAAATAGAAATATTTCATCCGTCCCATGAAAAAAAAGTTTAATTTTTCATTTTCGTTCATTTTAAAGCAAGTGTACCATTTCCTAAATTAGAAATTGTAGTACCTATTTAACATAATAAATACCTTTCAAACTTACAATATATTACACAAATGTCACGACCTTTATATTACACAATACTAATAAATGTATTTTCGTCTTTTTATTACAACGCAATATAATACTAATATTAAAAAATTTATGTGCAAAAAACAAACGTTGCTCCTTATATAGTAAAAACAAAAAAAATAAAAAATAAAAAATAATATTTTTTACTTTAAAAAAAAAAATTAGATAAAAATACAAAAAATAAATAAAAAAATTTAAATAACAAACAAAGTACTATCTATCAATTTAAAAAAAAAATAAAAAATAAAAATAGCTATAGTAATTTGATTTTCAATTTAAGCAAATGTGTTTTTTTATGGTTACATTTGGTGCTGTCTATCCATATTTGTTATTTTCAAAAAAATTTCCCTCCCTTTTTAACTCAAACCGAGGCCCGAGGCTTGTAGTTCTTGTATCGATCCATTGCAGAGGTGCCCATAATTGAAGGATTTTGTCATTTTCCCTATTTGTATCCAATCCGCTGCAGATTTGCTCTCATGTTCAGTGGAATTGCAGGTTTCTACCCCCCATATTTTGATTACTTTGTGCTTCGGTAAAATTCGGCCATGGCGGAAACCGGCGCATTTTAGCATACATACGCAGTTCGGCATACTTTATTCTATTTCGGCATTCTTCCCCCACACGGGTACGGAGAAGAACAATCAATATTAAATTCCCCCAATTTCCCTTTTCGAATTTCTCAATTTTGGTTGGGTACACTTCACATGAATGTTTTGAATATTATATTCAACGCACCCCATGTTACCACATTTCCTGCATCTCAGCAGCAGCAGCAGCAAAGGTTCCGTTACTCCTTCGTTGTTTCCTCTGAATCTTCGAATCCAGATTTTTATATTAATGCTTAATTAATTTACTCTAATTTTGCTTCAGACTTCATCTCACGCGGTGCGCATTTAATTAATTTTTCGATTTCCGATAATTGTTGTTTATCCTTTTTGTATATATCGTTATTTGCGTGTTCCGTTTTTGTGAGTGACCTTCTTGAATCGCGATGCCCTAATGCGAACGATTTGTCTGCTTTATTTGAAGTTTGTTACACTTGAGGGAATCTTCATTTCTATCGATTGATTGTTTATGCAGAGGGATTTAGTTTCGATTGGGGATTAGGTTTTTCACTTCACTTTATAGTCATTGTGTTCTAATTTGGGGTACGATTCAGATTTAATCAGAATGTGCTTTTTGCATTGAATTTCTCAATTTGTTGGATGAAAATTCTATGCATTGAATTGAATTGAATTGAATTGCCTCTGTTATCTGCAATTGAGGAATTCTGTGAATGTGTTGAAGTTGGTTGTAAATTAATTTCATTGGTTGGCAGATATTTCACAAGAAATGTGTTGGGGATACATAGCCATACCTGAATTTGTTTCGAGGAATTAATCGAATCCGAGGAGGCTAACATCAGTTTATCAGCAATGGGGCATTCAGCAGCAGTTTGGGATCACCGAGCTTCGATTGAAATGACAAAGGATTGGAACGGGATAGATCAAGTTGTTCTTCGTAGCCCTCGAGGAGCATCAGCTCGAGTAAGATCTAAGAATCAATGGATGTTGATTGAATGCATATCATATCTTCAGTTTCAAAGCTTTCTTATGTTATCAGAAGCCTCCCATTGTTGCATTGATTAGATTTCTTCGAGTTTCTTGAAACTTCTTGTTGTTATGAACTTTGAAATTTTCAGATCAGTCTGCACGGAGGACAAGTTGTTTCGTGGAGGAACGATAGAGGCGAAGAACTTCTGTTCACCACTAGTAAGGTGTGGTTCCAATCACTCAATCCTATTAATTACTACAGAATTGTTTCAGTTGTTTATCGATGATAATATTTGATTTGGTAATGAAATGTTCGACGCTGATTTCACAAACTTCTGCAGGCTATCTTCAAGTCTCCGAAAGCAATGCGAGGAGGGATCTCTGTTTGTTTTCCGCAGGTAATTTTTTTGTCTTTCTACCTCTCAATGCCTATATATCTGTCGATTATCGAGTTAAAAATTGGCTCGTTACAATGAGATAAGTAGTGAAGTTAGAAGTTAGAACTATGGTATGCTAAGCCTGTTTAGCTATGTAAGTTTAAGAAACTAAGGCCCCATTTGGTATAATCGATTTGGATTTGAGAATTTATTTTAAATGAATGATTGAATTACTTCGGATTTCAAATATTTCATAATCCGCAGCGTTTGCCAAGTAGAACTAATGAATTTAATCAATTCATTTGAAGTACCATTAATCCAAATCCCTCCAACCAAACGGAGCCTAACAATGGCCAACTATGATATCTTGACGATTTCTGCAGTGTGGAAGCTGTGGTGTTCTTGAGCAGCATGGATTTGCAAGGAACAAGATTTGGTCGATCGAAGATGATCCTCCCCCACTAAATCAAAAAGATTCTGTCGGCAAATCCTTCATAGACTTACTTCTGAAACCAGCCGAAGAAGATCTCAAGTTCTGGCCACATGGGTAAATTCTCGAGCCATTGTTTTGCCAAAATGAATATAGCTATTGGCAACGTGCATGTTTGTCTGAAAGTAACCGAACTCTTTTCTTGTTGTGTTCTTGCATCAGGTTTGAGTTTCGTCTTCGAGTCTCCCTGGCATCGGATGGGAACTTGACATTGGTGTCGCGCATCAGGAATGTGAACGGGAAGCCTTTCAGCTTCTCGTTCGCTTACCACACACACTTATCAGTTTCGGACATCAGGTAAATCATGAAAATTCAGACAAAAGGAACCATAATTTACTCACCAATAGTTACATGTGTATCATGTTGTGAATTATGCCACAGTGAAGTTAGGATTGAAGGTCTCGAAACTCTCGATTATCTGGACAACCTCTGCCAAAGGGAACGGTTTACCGAACAAGGCGACGCCATAACATTTGAGTCTGAGGTAAGACAATCTTCCTTCATGCTCTCGACGTAGACAAAATTATTTATAACTTACTTGTTGTTTGAAAACTCTGCACCATTTTTCCAAATGACATACAAACTACATCAGGCTTTCTCTGTTATAGAAAATATTGAACAGAATTAGATCCGGCAAAAATAGGCACGACCTGAAAATCTGATTACGAAAAGAATAGTTGCTTGGGCCTAAAAAAATAAGCTCTAAACTTTTCGGATCGTGCCCAGGTCATCAAGGTCGAGCCGTGACTGGGCTCATCACGGTTTTTAAAATTTATATTTAATATTTAAAATTGTTATATATATATATATTAAGTAATGAAATAAAAACAAATATCAATGCATAGGTTGATGGTAAAATTGTTGGTTAAGTTTGTAGTTGGTAAGGGATTCGAGTTCTTGGGCCTAGCTTTACAGGCCCAGATGGAAAATGGGCAGTGCTCAATCCAGTACAATTCAGATTCAGGCTGAACCGGTCGGTCCGGTCCGAATTGACACTCTTGCCCAAAATTCAAACTAGAAAAATAGTGCAAACTTTTCAAATTACAAGTGAATTATGAACAATTTTACCATCAAAACATATTACAACTTTGGATTTCTTTTCGAATGTATATCTACTTCCATTGTTGTCAGATCGACCGTGTTTACCTAAGCTCTAGCCAATGTGTTGCCGTCCTCGATCACGAAAGGAAGCGAACATATGTGATGAGGAAGCGAGGACTACCCGATGTTGGTAAGTGAAGAATACATCGAAATTGTTATTAATTCAGCTCGTTTCGAACTAAAAGTTTGGCTGTATATGATCGATGCGCGCAGTGGTGTGGAATCCATGGGAGAAAAAGTCGAAAGCGATGGCGGATTTTGGGGACGACGAGTACAAGCAGATGCTGTGCATAGGCGCGGCGGCAGCGGAGAAGAGCTTGACTCTGAAGGCCGGGGAGGAGTGGATGGGGCGGATCGAGCTCGCGGCAGTCCCGTCGACTTTCTGCAGTGATGATCTTGATTGATTGATGGTAGCTTTAAACTCAACTCAACTCAAGCCTGTGGTTTTTTTTCGAGATGGCTGGCTGATGTTGTTTGTTGGATTTTCGATATTTCCTTGCAATTTCATTCTCTCGTACTATTAAGAGATGAAAGTGGAAGTAAGAAAATTCAAATGTTTGTTATTATTATTATTGTCTTTTTATATAGTAAATTAGTGCAGAAGTTTGACATAATTTTTTACTTAGGAAACAAAATGAGAATAATTTTTATGATAAATTTAAAAATAATTAAATATAAATTTGCATGATAAAAGAATATTATTTTTTATTTTATGGAGTATTTGTTTTGTAGAAGTGTGAGCTCAAATTTTGGGTATAAATTTTTATTGAATAAAAACCATTTGAACATTAGAGGATATACAATAGTCATATTTGATGTCAAAATTATTTTACTTTGTATTAATAAAAATATTATGTCTAGATTTTTTATTTGTAAAAAAAAATAAAATAAAATTGTCATCTAATAATTTTTTATTATATTATTTTTATGAATATTATTAAAAAATAATAATTTAACATAAAATATTATTTTCTCTATTTAACTTTTAAAAACTAATTCATCGAAAAACAAATAAATAATAAAAACAAAAAGGAATCAGACATTATCAGTCAGTTCACTCAAGTGTTTTTAAATGAATAGATATATCTTATATTAATATTAATGCATATGTATATATTTATATATTAATATATATGTATATATTTATATTTTTTTAATAATATTTACGAACAATTCAACTAACCGTATATTAAATAAATATATTTGCGATGACACTTTTCAAAAGAGGTAAAAAGAAAGTTATTCGTTATATTTGAAAAATTTTAACAAATCTTTATTGTTTTGCCAATTTTTTTTTTTTTTTTTTTATTATTATTAAAAATATCAATTTATTATTTTACTATTTAAATCCAAATGTAAAATTCAAAATTCGAAACAAATAGACCATTAAAAATCCAATTCATACGGTTGGTGCCGTTCAACATCCATTATAAATAAATATATGTATAATTCTAGAGAGTGGGTTTCTTCCTATTCCGCATTACCATAAAGGAGGAAGGAAATGCTATTTTAAGTTGCTCTGTATTCTCCCCAAAGCCTATATCGTAGCGTATCGTCAACCACCAGCGGCGGCGGCGCAACACCACCAAACCAATCGACGAAACCACCCCTCAGGTACAGGTCTTTCTTTACTACGCTCGTTTTCTTCCTTTTCTTCACATTTTCCATGATTCCTTATTTAAAACTTGGTTAATTTCTCGGTCGTTTCATCGTTATCCTTTGAATTCATTCAACAGATCTGATTTCGTCTCGATGGCTTCGAAGCGGATCTTGAAGGAGCTGAAGGATTTGCAGAAGGATCCTCCTACTTCCTGCAGCGCTGGTATTTATAAATTCGTAGATTGTTACTTTGGTGTGTTGCTTGAACTTTATCGCGGTTGATCTGCGAATCCTGATGTCTTTTGTGTCTATAGCAGAACGTGGTTTTCCATGGGGATTGAATGATTGTGTTTTTGGTGGTTTTTAACCAAATAAGGGAAAGAAACTGTTCTTTGAATGTGTGGGTCCGAATCTGATGATTACTGTAAGAGAGAACATTGACATATACCTAAGGATAACTCGTATGCGGAAATGATTTTGTCCTTCTGATATGACTTGCTTTTAATTGACTTATCGATTATTTTATTGCTTAAAATCCTTCTTGATGATAGGAACAGATTTATGTGGCGGTGTTTTACGTTTTGTTAGTGTTCATTTGCATGCTTTGATACTTTTACTATTGATGTTGTGAGCTATAAGAATTTAATTAGGCATGTTGATTTTGGTGTTGATTTAAAGCTAAGAAGCAACTCATTCATTGTTCTTGTTTAGATTTGGGGATTATTGATAGATCTGTACTTGTATTGAGCTAATTTATGCATTCTGAGAATTTTCAAAATAGAAAATTGTACCCTATGTTATATATTGGTGTAAACTGCGACAAACTTGCTACGATATCTTTAATTTGCAGTTCTGAGGTTGAAGAAATATACATTGAACATCCTCTTTGTTTGTAGTGATTCTCTTTGTGCGAGTAGTTTCTTTGTCCAAGCTTGATTATATTCATGGAATTTAGAAGTTACTTTAGTGAAGGTATTGCAATGTTGGTTGCAGTTTTGTAAGTATGTGAAAAGTGTTTGTTTTGGTAAGTGATGAATAATGTAGAAGATTAGGTGGTATGTATACGTGATCTCTTTTGTCGTATGTTCTGTATTGCAATAATGCATTGAATGAAGATGATAGTTCTTACGGTGAATGCACACGTGTCTCTATTTGTTTCTGGTGTAGGTAAATTATTAAAATTAAACAAAAGAATCCTTTTATTTTATTTGTTTTTTAAAGTTGTATGTTTGGTGAAGGTTATTTGTAGGTGCAGTAATGCGACATAGCTAATAATATGTGAAAGTGGTTAAAAGTGAAAAATCTGTGAGCACGATATTGCTCAACTTGTTTTTCAAGCTCCCTCTTGCTTTAGCTCGTATTTCCTGACCTTACTTTCCAATGTTCTAATTTCTGAATCTGCCAAATATTTCCATGGAAGTTCTTTTTTTTCTGTGATGCTGACAATCTTGGGTTGGACTTTTGTTGTTCTCCAAATAATTGTGATTTTTTTCTTTGATTGTTGCATAATAGAATGATGTTTGCTTCTTGTTGTTAACACAACAGGACCTGTTGGTGAGGACATGTTTCACTGGCAAGCTACTATAATGGGTCCGCAGGACAGCCCTTACTCCGGCGGGGTTTTTTTGGTTACGATTCATTTCCCTCCGGATTACCCCTTCAAGCCTCCAAAGGTGAAATTTTCACACATTAGCTAAGTATTTCCAGATCTTACATTTTTAACACTTTGTCTAGCTTTCAGTGAAATTTTCTGTTACGATGAAGTTGTCCATTAGTTTATGTGATTTTTATGCCATTTATCCTCTCAATAATTATAGTATAAAGCTTCTGTATTTGAAGTCTGAATATGTTATAAAATACACATTTGATAACTATTTCAGTCGATTTCATTACATACTCTTGTTTTTTTTTTTTTTAGTTGGAGGTGATATGAAAGGTAGGTATTGAAGATTATTTACAAGTTCGAGTCGGTTATCTAAGAGGCTTTTTTCCTACTTTGACTTTTGTGATTGTTTTAGATGTATAAGAATGTTTAACCTCTTTTTTTTTTTTTTTTGTATTTTATGATTTTTTAGGTGGCATTCCGGACCAAGGTTTTCCACCCTAACATCAATAGCAACGGCAGCATTTGCCTTGACATCTTGAAGGAGCAATGGAGCCCAGCCCTAACAATTTCCAAGGTTCTTTTTCTATCCTTTATAGTCTTTCCAAGGTTATGCTTTCTTGCCCTCTTGCTGATCTCGCTTGATTGTATTTACATAAAATTAAATTGCCTCTCTTCGTTTTATTGGTGTACTATTTTAGGCAAATGTATGATTATGAATATGGAAAAGAAGTGGTTCGATAACAGAATGTATTTGAATGGTTTAAGACAAATTTGTATGTATGTATCATCACATATTATATATTGTTGTTTTATTACAATGTGTATGACCTTAAATTGCATTTTCTTTTAGGTGTTGCTGTCGATCTGCTCACTTCTTACAGATCCGAATCCTGATGATCCCCTGGTGCCCGAAATTGCTCATATGTATAAGACGGACAGGACCAAGTATGAGCAAACTGCTCGGAGCTGGACTCAGAAATACGCAATGGGATAAACAACCCGGGTAATCCTACTGCTTATCTTGATGCATGTATAAAACTGTGTTGTCTGTGTTGTTCGTTCTAAAACATGAATATGTCAGAAAACTGATTCGGTTCGATATATTTTCTTTTTTCTTTTTTCTTTTTGGTTTAAGGAATTCATGATGTTTGCTTCATCCAATATGAACTTTGAATTGATTGTTGAATTTGTAATGGAATGGTAAAAAAGGATTGTTGTGTTTCATCTCCTGCATAGTTTGCCATGATGACATTTATGCCCTGTTTGGAAGTCTTCTGTGTGCAAGTTAGATATGTTTACAAGTTTTTTCATTTGTTATTTTAAATAAATGTGTGAAATGAAGAAATAAAAATAGAAATGTTTTTATTTGTTTGAATAGATAAATGATTTTTATTTCTAAATATTGATTTTTTTGTTGTACTATCTAATTTATGATTTCTTAGAAAAATTATATTATTCCGATTTTATAAAATATAGTATCTAATTTTTATTCATATATTTAATTTTTACAATTTTTTTTTCACTCATTAAAAATAATTTTTTTATCTGATTTATCATTTTCTATTGACTGATTCATCCAGATCGTTGTATGTGTTGAAAATAATTCTCATTCTCTATGAATTTATTTATTTTTTTCAAATTTATTCTTTACTTATTTATCTATAATTTTATTATCTTTATTTTGGAAGGATATGAAAATAAAGTTGAAAATATATGCTGATATATTCTTTACAACAAAATATATGTTTTATTATTATTATTATTGTTTTTTTTAAGTGAAAATAGTGATTACATATAATGATTTGGTTATTTTTATTTTTTATGAATGTATTTTTTTATGTTAGGTATATATCTAATTAATTATCATATATGGGTGTGTTTGTTTGAAAGATTTTGGTGGATTTCTACTATTCATTCTATTTTTTCCCCCAAAAAACATCAAATCAAATACTTATTTTTCATTTTTTATATTATACTAAAAATCAATTTTACATCGCATCAAATCCTATTTATATCACATCATACAACTATTCAAATTCAAAATTTTTACTATTCAAATTCCAATTCAAAATCCAAACCCCCAAACAAACACACCCATATAAGATGAATCAACTTACTCTAATTTTAGAAAACTCACCGCAAAGCCCATAATATAATTTATGAAACTAATAAATTCAACATTTCTAAATTTTATTTTATTTTAAAGTTCAAGAAGTTAAATAATCATTCAAAAAATACCCAAACTATAATCTCAACTATCACATTACATATAACTCGGTAAAATAGAGAGATTTTATTAGATTAAGTACATAATATTAAAAACCTATAGTACTTTATACCATATTTGATTTTGTAATTTTCATATTTTGGTTTGATGAGATTTTAATGTTGCTCATTTGTTATATTAATCTAATTTAAATTTTAATATTTATATATTGTCAATACAATCTATAACTACAAATAATATATATTGTGTTAAATACAAAAAATATAATTATGCTATGTAAATAAACTAGTATTTGTGATTTGTTGTATTTGACTACTATATATGTATAAATTATGCTGAATTCAAATGTGTTAACCGAATATAATACAAAAATAATATAATTTATAATTGAATTCTACATAAATATTGCATTCACACAATATAATTATATATTTTATTCAGCATAATATTGCTCTGTTAAATAAACAATTATAATGAATCTATATCTTATATATTGTGAATAAAAAAAATCGAACATGGTGCTTATTGTTCCCATTGATACATATACAGACATATTTTAAATTAATAGAGGCAACAAATATATATACACTTAACCGATAGAAATTAATAATAATAATAATAATAATAATACTAATATACTAAATTACCTATTCTTCTATGGCACCAAGAAATCATCAACATCCCAAGCAAACGGTACGAGATCATCTTTCAAATCGACGGCTACGATTTCATCATCTTCAACTGGGGGCGCACTGATCGGGTCGCAGTAATCCAACGGCGATGGCGCCCTAAAGTCAAAATAGTCGTTCAAGAAACACTCATCCAACGGCAGGCAATCGTCCACGTACAATCCACCCTCATCTCCCACCGTCCCTTTTGCCGCTTCATTTCCCCTCAAAACAGAGGTCGGCGACGGGAGGCGGTTCTCGCACACCTCCTCCTCCGCCGTCGCCGCCGTCTCCTCCTCCGTCGCCGTCTCCAGCGGCGGCTTTTTAAAATTAGTCATAGCGTCGGCGCCGCGGAGTCGAATCGCAGCTCTATCGTACACCATCGCCGCCTCCTCCGCCGTGTCGTACGTCCCCAACCACACTCTCTCCCGCCGCGCCGGATCGCGAATCTCCGCTGCCCATTTTCCCCACGGCCGCCGCCGTACGCCTCGAAATCTCTTCTCCTTCCTCCTCGTAAGACTTCCATCGCTCTCCTCCATTATTCGAATCTCGTTCACGTGCTTCCGGACGCGGCGGAGCTCGCCGCAGTCGTCGCCGGAGGAGTCGGTGGCGTCGCCGTCGGTTACAGTTATCCTCACCAAACGCGGCGAACTGGAGAGAACCGCACCGTGCGGTAACCGGAGAGGAGAGGAAGTTACTTTTTCTGTAGTAGTTTTATGTTCTGAATATTTAATCCGCTTCGTATTTCCAAACTCCATTTTCAAAAAAGTGTATCACAACAGTGTGGGAGTAGGTGTAATTGCACATAACTGCAGAAAAGCGACAGTAGAGAGGTAGAAGAAGAGTAACGAATGCTAAGGAATGAAGGAGCAGGGCAATAGCTATTCTATATATAGCAATAGCAGAACGACACCGTATCAAACTAAATTAAATATGTTTGACCATGCTCTCGATTTTATAATAATTAAAAAGTTACCACTATTAAATAATTAATTAGGTTTTTATTTTTATTTTTTTTAAAAAAATAAGGCGGATTTTTCGATTGTAAACTTGTTGCAAATGATTGATTGTTGTTATTTTGATTAAATATAATCAGTATAGTGTTGAAAAGACAATGAGTGTGATTCTTTCATGAATTTGAGAAAATTTTACTTTTATATTTGATATTAAAATAATATATAATGAAATATTTTATGAAAAAAAAAAAAAAAATACTAAATTCAAATAATAAAAATTTAGAATTTTAGATAAAGAAAACGGATCCTTAATATATCAAAAAATATATGTTTATATAATATAAATATTAGTTCAATACAAGAAATATAAAAATTAATCTCATCACACAAATTAATTAACACAATACATATAGCCCTCCGTCTACTAATAATCTTTTTATTTATTTTTCGAACGCGAATTTAAATACTTCATCCGTCCCACGTTGGATGTCTCGGTCTATGTAGACATGAGAATTTATGATAAATATAATTAATAGATAATTAAGAATGTATTAGTAAAAATAATTATCTTATAATATAAATAAGATTAAAATAACTACTTACTTTAATTAAAATTTAAAAATTAATATAATTAAGATTAAGATAATTAATTACTTTAATTAAAATTAAAAAATTAAATTAAAAAGTTCAAAATGAGACGTATAGAAACGGCAATGTGGACATGGTATGTAGGACGGACATAATATATTAGTATTTTATTAAAGTACAGTACAATATGTATGTAAAGACAATTTTGCTTAATTTTTTTTGTGTAAAAGTAATTATGTAATATAAAATATGAGTATTTTTTTTTACTTGGTGACGCGGGAACCTACAGCTGCTACCCGAAAGTGCCCACTGGATAAACCCCCGGCCGAATCTAATACCTTGCAAAACCAGGCCCGAACCTAGTATTTTTGTTTTTATGTCTAATGTAATTTTACTAAAAAAAAGAAACGAGAAATGACTGACTAAATTAGAAAAATAAAAGATTTTAAACGGACGGAAGAGTATTTAAATAAAATTGATAGTACATACTAATATTCTATACAATATGTGATGTTTGTTATATTTTTGTACGTTGTCTATAGTATTTTAATGTGATAATTAGGTAGTTAGTATCATACTAATATATTAATGAGATTATAATCCATATATTATTGAGTGATATTTAGTATAAAATTATTTAGAATAAATTAATATCATCTAATTAAGTATAATTATTTATTTTTATTACTACTTCATCCGTCCATTTTCTATTGTCCTAAAAAGTATATTTACACAGTTTTTGTTAGGAATAAACAAATTTGCCCTTAATCTATGGTAGAGATTAAAAGTAATAAATGAATGAAAGGTAAAAATATAAAATTAGTGTTTAAAAGAAAAAATAGGACAATAGTTGTTGGACGTCCCAAATAGAAAAGTAGGACATTAGTTTGTAGACGGAGGGAGTATATTATTACGAAGATCTTTAATCATTTTGGGACTTTAATCCACTATAATAAGCAAATGATTAGATTGGATACGATAAATTAAATTTGATACTTTACATGTAATATATATATATATATATATATATTCTTTATAGCTTTATTCATCATTTTAGTAACTTTTATCTTTAATTTTATTTGGCATGTTTTAAATTTGTAAAGTATTTCTAATTATAGCAATCGGATGTTGATTGCGCTATGAATTAATATTGTAGTAAATGGTAGGTACTTGCACTCCAAGTAAATTATTAAATAAATAAATATATATATATATATATCTATCTATCTCAGCCTACAGATTTAATAGAAAATAAATTTAAAGGTGGGGAATATTTTTAATAAAAATATTTGTGGCAGAAATAGGTACAAATTTTGTACGTTTAAAACTTGGGCTTCACGCAGAAGTAATACAAGTAGTTTGCACCGAGTTCAATAAAATAATACTTTTTTCAATAGTTTGTGTAGGTTCTACTTATCCAATAGTCTTGGAAATTTTGACAATTATTTAATCTTTTAAAAATACATCATCCTTTCCCACTCAAAAGGGTTTGTTTGGTTTCCGTTTGATTTGAATTTGAATTTATATAATATTTTAACATGTATATATATATATAAAATTGATGTATTATTATATACAAAATAAATTTTTTATTCAAAATTCCACATTGTATACTTAACATTTAATTTAATTAATTTTTCATTATAAAAGTAAACTAAAATAAATTAGAAAGCGAAAACAATTGCTTTGAAAATAAAACATAGTGAAATGGACAAATCAGGAAAATTGAGTGAAAGCAAAAGCGACAAGGCAGTAAAAAGAGAGATTCAAAGTTACATTATAATATTAATTTTAAAATGAATAATAAAAAGACATAAATATTCTGGATTTGTCCACTTTGTATTATTATTATTTTTTTTATATTTGGTACGAAAAATAATATTAATAATATAAAAATAATTTATATTGAATTATTAACTTTATATGTGTAATAAATATATATTATATTTTTTAATAATATTATAAAGAATGATCTACATGAAAAATAGTGAACAAACCCTATTTAGACAAGGAAAAAAAAAAAGAAAAAAAAAAAAAAAAAAGAAAGAAAGAGAAAGATTACTTCCTTAGTCACAAATCACACAACTAAAAACATATCCCATGCTTTAACTATATATAAAAGTTGTCAAACATCTGTCATTTATTTACTCTGCTTTTTTTTTTTTTTTTTTTTTTTTTAATTTTTGAAAACTTTTAACATTTATAAAATTCGATGATTAAAATGAGGGTTGCATCATTGATTGTGTAAGTATTTGATACTATTTAGAATATATATTTATTTTTTTTTCATTTTTAAAAATTTTCAAGTAAATAATATTTTATACTAGAACAATGTTGTCTCTCTTGATAGTAGATATCTTTCATTATTTAATGCGTTTATAAAGCAGTAGTATGAGAGACTTTTGTTTGCGAATAAATATATTAATGATGCGTTTCACTTATATTGATGCATTTCTCTAATAATTTGAACTTTTTAGGTGAGACGGTCATTTTGCTCATTCAACATGGCATCAGGGCTCTGTGATAAAAACTATGTGGTATTACAAATTCATCTTTATTATAAATGACAAAATTGTAATTATCTTTATATTTTTATTATTATTATTATTATTATTATTATTATTATTATTATTATTATTATTATTTTGTGGGAACTCAAGTTAATATCTTAATGGTATAGTTTACAATTGTATAAATGAAATAAATTAGGGAATCTTGTATGTAATGGATTGAAATGATTCTTTTAGGGACTAAGAAGAAAGCTAATTAAGATGATTACTCGAAAAAGATGACTTGAGATGAGATGAGATAAACGTTGAGGTTTTGAAATCGTCTCTATTTGCATGTTCGGGGTAATTATATGCATCTTATCGTCTCATTATGTCACATTTTATCGAGTTTGTTTATTAATAGATTGAACCATGTATAAAGTTGATATCTTAGTAAACAAGATGGTATGTGTTAGAATCTCAGACATAGATTCTTGAGTGACCAAATTAAGTAAACAAATCTTTGTGTTTTTATTCTTATTTGCACAGTCTTGGTAATGGGTAAAGGGACAAATTACACATCTAGTATTGTTTTTATTCTACTGAGTAAGATTGTGGGTGTGTTAACTATTGGTTGGTTTAAATCGATTATTTTGGGACCACACTTAGTATAAACACACAATTTTATTTAAATATTTCAGTATTTATATAAAAGTATCCAAATATATCTTTCAACGCATATTTGTTATTAGATATTAACCGTTGCAGTCTAAATTTACATATTTTACGCACTTACATAATTTTATCAAATATAACATACTATTATTCCTTAATCAATCAATATATACACAATAAATGTATCTATAAATAATGAATGGACACCTAGAAATATATAAGAGAACCACGAGCTTTTTAGTTGCGAACATACTTACGACAAAGATATATTATAAAATCGAAATCTTCACTATTCAGTTTGTAGTGTTTTCAATAAATATATATATATCTATATACAAATATTTTTGTACAAAATATTACATCAAAATAATATTTAAAGTAAAGTTGGTCAAAGTTGCCGTTGAAATAGAGTTTTATTTATATAGTTATTTATTTATTTTAATGGGAAGAAATTAAAGTTTCTAATACACATGTGAGAAGTGAGATTGTAATTTTATACTCTTGGATGTTTTTTGGTCATCCAATGATTTTCCCAATATTTGATTTTCCATGTAAATTTGATGTCCAATATAATTTTGCAATCTGTTTTATTTGTTAAGTTGTTCTTCATTCAAATGATTCCTAAATCTGTAACATATAGTATTAGTGACAAATAGAGTACTATATAGGCTTACAAAAGGAGGGTTCAGTTTAAACAATATTTTATAAAATTAAATACTATCAAAATGACATACAAAAGTATGGAAAATAAAGTTTGGAATTGACTATAAATTGAAATAATTTTTAGTTTGTTTTGGATTTTGCCTCAAAATGAGAGAAAACCTCTTTTATTGGCTTAAAAAATTCCGAGTCAATTAGGACAGGTCTCGGAATTTCTGAGAGCATGTATATTGGCTCTCTTTAATTGGCTTTAGAATTTTTGAGACCATAATTTCAAATTTTCGAAGCCATTTGTATTGGCTCGAAAATTTCCTAACATCTCCAAATGGCTTCAGAATTTCAAATACCATAAATTGTCTTAGACTTTTCGAACTAATTTTTCAAAAATTAAGAATCTGATTAGAAAAGCTGAAGATTAATTAGCTTTGATTTACTTCCATGAAATGACCTTAAAAACCTCATCACATCGAATATGGAATATTTTCCGTC